CTGCCCGTGTGCGCTGTCAGAACCAGCGAGACTTGGTGACTTCAGTGTCGTTGACACATGGCTCATTTAGCACGGAAGTTGTTTTATTCCAACGAACCAAGTCGCACTGACTAGCGGACACGCGAGCCTCGTTTCGGAACTGTAAATTTTCTCAATCTTAATAAAGGAAAATGTAACGGGGTTACACGTACCCTGGTAACAGGGGTGTGAGTCACACGAGATGGGCATGGTGCGACTGCATCCAAACAAGAATACGGTATGTGGCTGGGTAGCCAGTAGTTATGCATGTATTTAGATTTTACCATATATATTTTGGAAAATCTAAAAATTTAGGGTCTTTGCCGCAGATAAAAATAAATAAAGATCAGTTTTGAATTTTAAACGGAAGAATAATTAGCCTTGGCTTAAGGCAATAATTACTCTTGGAGTAAGCGGATTGCGATCCACTAAACTCGTTGTTGTTCTAAGTATAGAACGAAAGGTCGGTGAGCTAAGTTACGCTTTCTCGAAGCGCGAAGCTACGGCAGCCCCTCTACACACATAGTATGCGGTCCACATAACATGTGTATGGGTACCTGGCGCATTACACAAATCAAAGTTTAGAGCTGAGTGTTATGTTTATTTGCAGGGCCAGCAGCCAGTCAACTACATGAAATTTCGGGAAAGAAATCTGAATTTAATAGAGTACTTTACTGCAAATGAGAAGTGAATGTGTCAATAGGGGCAAATTATACCAAGCTAGCACATCCAGGCATGAAATACTACTTCCAACCATTATAAATCCAGTTGGTGACGCAAAGGCTTCTTCTCGAGAACAAACCTCGACCCGCGATGCTTGCACAATACTTTGTCTGTCTCTCTGGACAGTGGGAAGACATGTTGTCACTAGTTTCAGATACTGATTTTTTGATGTTATCAATTTTGTAATGCGTTGTTGGCTACTTTTTTGGTATAATTTTAATGACAATACATGTACCGTACTTCACAAAATAAAAGCCACTCAAAAGAATCACTTTTTCTGATTTCGTTCACCTCTTAACATTAAGGTGAATTTTGTTTAACATAATTATCACCACATGGGTAA